CCGGTAGGGGCGGATTGGGGACGGGCTGGGAACGGGTGCAGCACGATTCCCAGATGTTGCTGTGGGATCGCGCCCGTTTGCTCCAGCCCCGATCCGTCCCTCTCCCGGCCCAAAACGGCTCATATGAACAGGGCCCAAGTTTATCAGTGGGTTGGAAGAAGATCATCAACGAGGTTTGCTGTAAAAGCCTGGAAATCTCCCCAAATTGCAACTGATCTTCAGACTACAAAGATCAGTTTCCCTGGAGGAAATGGCTGCTTCGAAGAGTGAAATCTATGGTATCACACCCTGCTGAAGTCCATCCCCTCCTCAAAGAGAGCCAATTTGGTGTAGTGGTTAAGGGCACGGACTCTAATCTGGGAGAACCGGGTTTGATTCTCCACTCCTCCACTTGCACCTGGCTGGATGACCTTGGGCCAGCCATAGTTCTGGCACAGCTGTTCTTGAAAAAGAGCAGTTTCTGTCAAGAGCTCTCTCAGCCCCACCTATCTCACAGGCAATGCTCCCTCTAAGCTGTAGAGTCTTGTGAGCAAAAGTTCTACTTTGTGAGCTACTGGCATTAAAGTTGTGAGCGAGCAATTTGGCTACTGCATAAATTAGTTTGCTCTGGAGCCATCCTCCCTGAGCGAAGACAAAAATCTGTGAGCTGGAGGCTAAAAAACTGTGAGCTAGCTCACGTGAACTCAGCTTAGAAGGAACATTGCTCACAGGGTGTCTGTCGTGGGGAGGGGAAGGGAAAGGAGTTTGTAAGCCGCTCTGAGACACCTTTGGGTAGTGAAAGGCGGGGTATAAATCCAATCTCTTCTCTCTTCTTCTTTTTCTTCTTCAAAGCCCACCCTTCTGAAGCTCTACCCCCAAAATCTCCAGGAATTTTCCAACCTGAAGTTGGCAACCCTAAGGCTTCAACTAATATATGTGCTGTGACATTAAGATTATGTTTTGATTGGATTCTTTATTTTCCCCTTGTTTTCCAATGCAGTCCTGAGCAGAGTTACACCCTTCTGCATCCATTTAAGTCAGTGGACCTCAAAGAGTGTAACTCCGTTTAGGACTGTACCACCAGTGAAGGAAAATTGCCAGTGCCAGTTGCATTTTAGATGAGGCAAGCCTTTTTCTGTTTACTTTACAGAAGGAGAGTCTAACTAGAAGGCAGTGTTCTGTCTGTCTGCTCATTCGCTCCAAAGTATTAGTATTATGAATAAACATAAATATCCATTCTTGGCAAAGGGTATTATAGTATCAGGCTCTCAGTCTTTCTAAGAAGCATGTGGATCCTTTGGTTTACTGAAGTAGCATTAGTGTAGTAGACGATGGTTCTGAAAACCAACTTCCTTAAAGTCAGTATAAAATATATTATCAGTGCAATCCTGTGCAAAGGTATTCCAGTCTAAACTAATTGATTTTAGTGGGCTTGGACTGGAGTAACTCTGTACAGCATGGCATTGTTAGTTTCTATTATATATTTTTTGCAGAAGCTTTGGTTCTATTTTACAAATAGAGGGCAGTTCCCCGAGGCAGATTACACTGTCCCTGCCCTTAATCTGTAAATCAAGGCAGTTTTTTAAAAAGATATGTTTCCTCCTCATTGCTTTTCCTGTACTACTTTATGATACCCACATGCATTAATATGAGCTCTGGCCACCCACTGATCATCCATGCATTCATTAATTCATTCGATTGTAAGTCTTTTGCTGTTCCAGCTCTTTCAGTTAATTCTTGCATCACCTACTTTTGTGTTTATTGCAAGAAGGCAGAATTATTTACATATGTGTACATTCCACATACTGGCTAAAAAGAATGAGCTATGTCAGGAAGGCCCTGCCTCAAACCTCGCCTTTACCATGAGCTCACTAGGTGATTTTAGGCAGACATGCCCTCTCACTCATGGCTCAGCCAGGTGTAAGATGAGAGTAATAATACTGATCCACATTGCTGAGCTGTTGTAAGAATTACAAGATAAGGTATGTGAAAGTATCTGAATGATTGAAAGTGCTTTAAAATGCTATGTATTATTGTTAAGGCACTTATGTGACTTATGTAGTCATTTGCCCATTAAACTTAGGTGGTGTAGGCTGCAAACCTTCAACCAGCCTTCAGCAATATAGTCACTACTCAACTTTGGCAAAGTTCAAAGAACAGTGGTATGTGGCATTTCAGTTTTGCTTCTGGTACGGTGCACGCATACATACACAGTACAATCCTCAGCAGAGTTACTCCTTTCTAAGGCCATTGACTTCAGTGGGTTTAGAAGGGTGTAACTCTTCTGAGGATTGCACAGACACACTTTGACTGTATCATAATCTATGACTCAGTGCTTCTACAGAAGGAACAGCTCTCTGGGGCCCATGAGACAGATCTGGTCTCTGAAGCATTTTTTTATCTGGTCCCTGGTAGACCTGTCAGATATTAATTGAGGTGTGTTTTTAAAAGAAAATCACTTTCAGTGGCCTGTGTCCTTCCATTCCAGTAAGCATGAGTAGGAAGAAGGCTCCTTAGGCTAGAGAAACTTCCTCCAACCTAGTTTGAGAGGGTAGCATTGTTCCCTCTAAGATGAGTTAGTGTGAGCTAGCTCACAGTTTTTTAGCCTCTAGTTCACACATTTTTGTCTCAGCTCAGGGAGGAGGGCTCCAGAGCAAACAAATTTATGCGGTAGCCAAATTGCCCGGTCACAACTTTAATGCCAGTAGCTCACAAAGTAGAATTTTTGCTCACAAGACTCCACAGCTCAGAGGGAGCATTGGAGGGTAGCCTTGTTGGTCTTCAGCAGAACACTTAGATTTGGGTCCAGTAGCACAAGCGTTTCAGGGCATGAGTGTCCAAGGGTCAAAGCTGCCTTCTATTCTACTGTGTCTGACAAAGGGAGTTTGGACTCTCGAAAGCTGGCACCCTGAAACTCTTGTTGGTCTCCAAGGTTCTAAAGTAGGATACTGCCCAGTTTCACTAGTAAAAAAATAAAGCCGTGACCCTCTGTGTATATTCCCTATACTGTAAGTATGCCAGCCCTCTGTCTGTCAAGAGGGGTCATTTCCACCAGCAATGGACCACATAGGGGTGCCCCAGAGTCCATCTACCAGGCATCCTGACCAATGTTCCCGCTAAGGTGTGGAGTCTTGTGAGCAAAAATTCTACTTTGTGAGCTACTGGCATTAACGTTGTAAGTGAGTGATTTGGCTACTGCATAAACTAGTTTGCTCTGGAGCCCTCCTTCCTGACCTGAGACAAAAAGGTGTGAGCCAGAGGCTAAAAAACGGTGAGCTAGCTCACACTAACTCAGCTTAGAGGGAACATTGATCCTGACATAAGTGGATGGAAAGATGGAAGCCAGGACTGGCAGTCCTCATAATCATGCCTAGGATGTGACCCTGGAAATCACACAAGACCTTGCTCCCCCACCCCACCCCACCAACATATGCACACTTGATTAACTTCTTGCAATCTCAGTTGCCAATCCTGTCAATCTGATCCTATCTTTCCTCCTCACATTTCCTTGGTAATGAAAAGTCCTGACTTTTACTCCTTTCCCACACCCTAAACCCAGGTGGCTCATCAAGCAGCATTGTTTCTGTTTTGATTAGTTTAAATTAGCAATCCATTAGTCCTCCAGCCACCGGAGAACTAATCAGGAACCCAGCCCAATTTGTACTTTGCATCAGAAGAGAATCTCTGGTCCCCTTTGTCCACTCCTGGGAATTCTACAGAGTTCCCAAACTACATTGTTCTACCCATGATTAATCCCATCATACCCCTGGGTAATCCCATCAATTATTTGTTCTGAGGGACCCTGCATTGCACTGAGTTCTAACTCAGTGATCCCCAGCATGATGCTTGCCATTGTGTTCCCTGGCATTCATTTGCTTCTTCGGTCTTGGGGATAAAACCCAAAGGGTCTCGAATAGAATGGCAACAAATAGGGAGCTCAAGTTGGTGGCTCCTTCCCAGCTGATTGACTTCCAAAGCACTTTCATCCTGGGTAGGACTGCAAGAAGATCAAATCAGTCAATCCTAAAAGAGATCAACCCTGACTGTTCCCTGGAAGGCCAGATAATGAAACTGAAGCTCAAATACTTTGGCCACCAAATGAGAAGGGAGCACTCCCTGGAGAAGACCCTGATGCTGGGAAAGATTGAAGGTCAAAGAAGACGGGGATGGCAAAGGATGAGATGGTTAGACAATGTCATAGTGCAACGAACATGAAGTTGAGCAAACTTCAGAGGACAGCGGAAGACCGGAAGGCCTGGCATGATCTGGTCCATGGGGTCGTGAAGAGTCGGACTCGACTGTGCGACTGAACAACAACAAAAGGTGTATCCTATGCAAATCAAATGTATTGATGTGATTACTTGGCCCCCTGTTTTGCTGACACCCCTCACCTTTCCTGTGCCTGGAGAGACTTGTTTATATGGAGAGCTGCTTATGACATGGCTGCTCGTGTGACATAAATGATATTGTGTTAACAGTGCATATAATTTACTCAGGTTGCAGAATCCAGCTCTTCTCTGCACAAAATTTGGGGTTATTTTAGCCCCACAAAATACATTTGTGGCTCTGCTAGATAACAGTCTTGTTAAAACAGGTCATGTGAAATGGCCCCAGAATGTTCAGGTGTTTTGACAGGTACACAACATAGAGATGTTGCTTAAAGCCCTGCCTCCTTCACCAGCAGCATGCTCCTTTCCTCCTCTTTCTACTCTCATGCTATAGCCACAAAAGAAACCATTATTGTTGTGCATGGCTGGCTCCACTCCAAGATGTCAGAGCAAGGCTATATAAGGTGAAGGCAGATCATTTTCACAGCAGTGAGAGCAGCAACAACAGAATAAACTAACAATTATGTACAGAGAAAGAGGCTTCCATCAGTAATATTGGAAGTGGCTGTTATAGGAATCATGACCATGTGAGAGAGCCAAAGTTACTATTATCTGCAGATGTGAACCATAACAGTGTGTAACAATGTGAAGAACAGCATTTGTTGAAACAACATTGTGTGTCTTAATCTGCAGGTCCCATTGAAGGGAAAGAAGAAAGGAAGAGATTTGACTTCTCATCATCCATAAAATCAAATCTGCCTTTAAAAGACTCGGGCGCACCCCGCACACCCCGTTCCTTAAATAATAAATCTGTAATCTCTACATCAACACATCCTGTGGAATCCAGCACTATGAGGACAAACAAGGCCTCCTCTGGTGAAGGTTATACAGCTCACTCTCTTCAGTTGATTAAATTTAATCCTACAGTAGGGACTATCGTAATTGCTGAACATAAGGAAATCAAATTTAATTGCTCCATCAATGTTCCTAAATCACTAATCAACCAAGACTCTGCACTTATTTCCTTGTGGAAAAATGGGAAGGAGTTGCTCGACGCTGACCGACTAGCCAGCCAGTATTATGAGTTTGAGGACAATGAAGTAACCACAATGATATCTACTTTCAGGTAAATAACTTACAAAGTTTTAAAGTTTACACTTAATTTTTTAATGTATGGAAACCTACGTGTTAAAATCTTAAGCTTACCAAAACTTTAGTAACATTGCATACATTATAAATAAACAAATGTTAGAGGAACTGTTGGGAGACCTGCATCTCCTGTTTTCCTTCTGTAAGGTGGGAACTGGATCTTACTTTGATCTCCTGAGGTGAGATAATCCAGGCGCTCCAGGAGTCACTTGATATCTCACCAAGACACTTTACGGGAAGAGGTCTAGATCCCTGCGTACGATTCCATGAGAGTAGTTGTGTAGTCTGAAGCAGCAATATAGAACAGGAATCTAATAGCACCTAAACTCAAGACAAGTAAATAGTAATGATGCATTTATTGCATTTTAAAAGGAATTGGGAAAGTAGGGATTCCAACGAGACCCCTAGCAGACATGCAATTAATTAGGGGAATATAAAGAGTCAATTGGTTAAAAGCTTCCTTCAGGGAGGGAGGGGAATGGTACCGTGTCAGAGCACATGGCCTGCAGGCAACACCAATGCAGATGGACCAACCATGTAACTCATCACAAGCTAGCTCCCTATGCCCAAACCTGAGGCTCAAGAAATGATACCAAGACATGGGATCAGCTATACTCCCCCAGCACACAGCCCTAGGCAGTGTGTGCAATTGTTACTGACTCGGCAGGCCCGTAGCTACCGCGGGGCCCGCCCCCCATGGTTTTTACGGGCCCCTCTCCAGTCCTTGGCTCACCCTCCCTCCCTCCCATCGCTGCCCTCAGCCCAACAGCCGGTGAGAGGAGGGCAGCAGCGCACCCATGCGCAAAGAGGGGCCCCAGCCGAGCCCTGCAGCCGCTGCACACACCATGTAGCCGGGCCTTCCAAGCACCCCTGCTCAGAGATTGACTGAGGCAGCCGCTGAAGCTGCCGTGCCCGCCCGCTCACCCAGGTCCGGAGGAGACCAGCTCGCTCCCCCTTCCCTTCCCTCCCCTCTCCACTTTCACTCGCTTGCAATGGAGGGAGCCAGCCTGGGCATGGCTCAGGAGCCCGGGGTGCCTGGGGACAGCAGGTAGGCAGGAGGCGAGCAGCCGGGGAGCCTGCAGGCATGCTGGAGGAGCAGCCAGCAAGCCGGCAAGCCCCACGCTGGCTGCAGTGGCAGGAGCAACACTATGGCGATTCTGCATCTAACATTCCCTCCACATTTTCTCAACGGGGAGGTAAAAGTGCCGGTGGAGTCAGCAACTGCGGACCCGGCAGGGGCGAGGCATCGTGGGGGAGGTAGCCGTCTGGGGAGCCACCTCCTGTCTGTCTATGTCAGTCCACCCCGAGAGGGAGAGAGGTGGGGAAGCTCGGCAGGGTGCTCGCTGGTGGCCAGTCGCCCAGGGAGGCGGAGGGAGAGCGCCCTGGCACACCCGCAAGACCCGAGGGTTCATCTGCACTGCGAGAGCTGTCCCTGCTGTTGGCGGGGTTTTAATTGGCTGGTGCCCCCCCGGCCCCCTCCCCAAAAACTCCTTAGCTACGGGGCTGACTCAGGGTCAAACTATATGGTATAATTCTTGTATTTCCAAAGGTTTAGTTGACTGATGTGATCTGGGAGTCCCATACTTCCCAGGATCATGGGGACCCAATGTGAACTGGGGCTGCAGCATATGGGGAGAGGGTGGGCTTAATTTTTTTCCTGAGCTGAAATGGCTCTGGGGGAACTTAAAATGTAGCCAACACTATGGCTGTGGTCATACTGGAGGCTTACCGCGATTTGGGTGCACCTCTAATTGCACCAGTTAAAAGATGCAGTTCGAGACCCTAGTGCCACATGACGGAGTGAGCTCCCGTCTCTGGCCCCAGCTCCTGCCAACCTAGCAGTTCGAAAGCAAGAAATTGCAAGTAGATAAATACCTTCAGTGGGAAGGTAACAGCGTTCAGTGTGCCTTGGCGTGTAGTCATGCCAGCCACATGACCATGGAAATGCCTTCTGACAGCGCTGGCTCTTCGGCTTGGAAATGGAGATGAGCACCGCAACCCTAGAGTCGGATTCGACTGGCTTTTAAGCATGAGAAACCTTTACCTTAAAGTGTTACAGGGCAGACCAACCAGACTGCACACACTGGGGTGGTTTCAGCACACGCTCATCTGGTGGTCAGGCTTTTACAATACTGCAGTACCTAAGGGGTTGCTACCCCTAAAGCATTTAAAAACTAATTTGGACTTTGACAGGAGGAGAGGAAAAAGCAAAACAGCTTAATTTCGATAGCCTGATGTTTATTCTTAACTCCAAACTAATGATATTTACACTATAGTGTTTATTGTCAACTAAGCTATACAATTTTAGCCAAATAAGTTTGTGATTATTTGCTTTTTAATGATATTTTTACAGTATTATCTCTCACACTTTACTATTCTGACAAAAGAGATGTATCAACAACTTCAGACTTTTGTAACAATGATCCTTGGTACTCTAGTTTTAGGTTGTTCCCATCCCCCAACCCTGTAGTATTGTAGTTTTAGAAAAGCAATAAAAATGCTTTTTAAAAAAAAAAATACTGCAGTACCTCAATTACGGAGCATGCTGCCTGGTCATTTTTTTAATACAGGCAGGTGCATGTGCATATGCGGTCATGCGCATATGCACATATAGGCAGCAACACCAAAAAAAAACAGTGGCAGAAACAGATCTGTGGGTTCTTTTCATGGCAAGAGAGTTCATACTTTCAGGAAAACAGAGTGGAAGTGCTGGCATCCATTAATACCGGACTTTCCCCAGTGCCTGATTACTCCGCTTCCAAAGCAGGGCATCATGGGGTGCCAACGACTGGGGCACGGAAGGCAGATGTTGTCGTCTGATCATGCTCTTTAAATCCGCAAACTGCTCATGTGACCGCAGCCTAAATTAAGTTTCCCCAACAGAGCAAACAGCAATTCCCTTGAGTTATTTCAGGTCAGAGAAATGGCTCAGGAGGGGAAGGCTTAAACCCCCCTCACCCTGCATAGCATGGACCCAGTCTGAATTAGGTCCATGTGAGCTTTGGGAACATGGAACTCCAGACCGCATGTGTCACCCAGACTCAGGGTAGGCCTGAGAAAAGTATGTCATGCAGTTAGGTCCTCAGATTAAAAGAAACTGGGAGCGCTTTCAAGTCCTTGAGAATCCTGATCAAAACTAGGTTATTCCCAGGTTATTTTTCTTTCTGTTTTCAGCAGTTCCCATGGTTTTCTAAATAACATCTTTATTTTAGATCAGTTTTAAAATACCACAGCATTATTATTTTTTTAAGTTGTGTACTGGAAATTTCTATGTTCTTGGCTAAGTCACCAAATAAACATTGAAGGCTTTCTAAGCTTTTCTTCCTTTCCCCCCTGCAGTATATTCAATGTCCAGCGCTCTGATAATGGATCTTACCGCTGCAAAGTGACAGTAAATGGTAATGAAATAGAGTCAGACCCTATCTTGGTTGTGTTGGAAGGTAAGCCTAGATTTAAAAGAATTGGAGTTTTTCATGGCATGGAAGTAAATAACATCCTATTAAGACTCAGTTAAAGAAAAAGGACATTTTTTTCCTGCAGGTTGTTGGCAACCCTACAGCACAATGGAAGCGACTGTTCCAGGAGTACTGGAGATAAACTGAATTAGACACAGAACCAGTTTTGGAAACTCTGTATAGAAAAAGCAAGCAGAAAGTCATTTGCAGTATTTCCCAAACATGTCATTTTCCCCCTGAATTAAAATTGAAGGGGCACCTCTCTTATGTTCAAAAAGGCACATAATTATTTTCTCAGCCAGCTCCCAGAACCCCTTTCAACTGCAAGATAGGTCAGTTACACATGGCCCCATAAAATCTGAACTTTAAAACTTTCAGCCCTGCTATGGACTTTGAACATGGCTCTCATAAGAATTCCAGTATGCTGTCATGCAAATCGGCCTCTGAGAAGAAACTGGTGTTGTAATCACATAAACACATACACAAGATCCAGGCTAAATTATTTGAGGAAATCAGTTGAGAGGCAGTGTGGTGTAGTGGCTAAGAGTGTTGGACTAGTATCTGGGAGACCCAGGTTCGAATCCCCACTCATGCCGTGGAAGCTCACTGGGAGACCTTGGGCCAGTCACACTCTCTTAGATAACTTGCCTCACAGGGTTGTGGAGAGGAGAATGATGTAAGTCGCTTTGGGTCCCCACTGAGGAGAAAGGCAGGGTGTACATTACACAAAAGAAGTTGGCTGCAGCTGAGGAGAAGTGGAGAAGTGCCTTCTGTTAGGGGAAATATTAGTCTGGATTCAGCCAATTATCATACATTTCATATATTTGTTAAAGGCTCCTTTCTGAGAAAAGTGCATGAGGTTCATGAGCCACCCTATATTCAGTCCAGGTACAGGTAATCTGCAGATGCCCATTTCTTCATGATAGCTACTACAGGTGACAGAGGCAGTGGGTGTTTGTGCCATGCTGGGACTGGAGCAGGAAAAGCCTGCAAGCTCAGCTGTGATACAGAAGTCAGACCTGCATTTTCTGTTTGCTTCTCTGATGCTTCATTATTCATCAGCAGACTACATGCAAAAATGTAGAGAATATACAGTAATGTGCACTAGAGTGGCAATATAAAATACTTGGGATTTCACTTGTAGCACACGTTCCTAAGAAGCTGGCCACCACAGAGAGAGTGGGTTCACAAGGATCCTGGCTACAGAGGGATCTCTGTTGCACCAGATCCACAAGGATCCACAAGAAAGTTAGGGCAGTGAGAAGAAGGTGGGCAAACGTAATCTGTGAGGCTGCTTCCACACAGGAGGCAGCACTCCTCCCTCCAGGCAATAAAAGAGAGTGTCCAGATGACATTGTGCCTAGGCTGTGTATGAATTGTCTGTTTACTCTGTCCATTTACTCTGGAGAAAGTTTTGTCTGAAATAAAAGCGAAACTGAGGGGTGGATCTGGGCGTTGTGTCCATCTGGATGTTCTCTGTAGCTGCCACAGATAAGGCCCACTTCCAGAATGCCAGAACTGAGCTCTGTACAGTCCCCTTCCCCTTCAGTCCTTTAAAGGGCTTATTTCCATCCCCTGCCAAGGCATGTTGTAGCATTATAGAGGTGAAGGTTCAAGGCTGCAGGGAGGGGGGGAGCAGTGAATGCTGATCTGTGTTTTTTACAGGCACAATGGGGGAAAGGAGCAGGAGTTGGGGGCAGCAGCAGCAAGCTGGTCAGGCGTGGCAGTGTGTGTGTTGATGCTGTTCCTGCCTGTTACTCTGCCCCTTGTTGCTGCCGCCCTGACATGCCACTGTGTGGATGCAGCCTTAAAGATTTGTATGCATCTTATGCTAGGTTAGGTATAAGAATGTTTGTCTGAACAGGGCCATAACAGGCACATATTGCAGTAGGTACTAATTCAATGATGAGATTGGTGCAACAGTACTACATACCTTGGTATCCTAGTAGATTGTATAAGGGAATTTACTCCTCACATTGAAAATTGGTGGGAATTAATGTATCCTTCATAAATGTACGATGACATTGTGCCTAGGCTGTGTATGAATTGTCTGTTTACTCTGTCCATTTACTCTGGAGAAAGTTTTGTCTGAAATAAAAGCGAAACTGAGGGGTGGATCTGGGCGTTGTGTCCATCTGGATGTTCTCTGTAGCTGCCACAGATAAGGCCCACTTCCAGAATGCCAGAACTGAGCTCTGTACAGTCCCCTTCCCCTTCAGTCCTTTAAAGGGCTTATTTCCATCCCCTGCCAAGGCATGTTGTAGCATTATAGAGGTGAAGGTTCAAGGCTGCAGGGAGGGGGGGAGCAGTGAATGCTGATCTGTGTTTTTTACAGGCACAATGGGGGAAAGGAGCAGGAGTTGGGGGCAGCAGCAGCAAGCTGGTCAGGCGTGGCAGTGTGTGTGTTGATGCTGTTCCTGCCTGTTACTCTGCCCCTTGTTGCTGCCGCCCTGACATGCCACTGTGTGGATGCAGCCTTAAAGATTTGTATGCATCTTATGCTAGGTTAGGTATAAGAATGTTTGTCTGAACAGGGCCATAACAGGCACATATTGCAGTAGGTACCAATTAAATGATGAGATTGGCGCAACAGTACTACATACCTTGGTATCCTAGTAGATTGTATAAGGGAATTTACTCCTCACATTGAAAATTGGTGGGAATTAATGTATCCTTCATAAATGTACCATCTGGATATAATCTATTGGTAGAAAAATACACATTCCCTGCCCTTTCGAAGCACAAAGGGTAAACTTTTCCCTTCCCTCCTCCAAGGTTGGAGTTTTTCATTTCTCACTATTCTTGAACTGTATGATATGAGCTGCTATAGGTCAATCTAAAGTGTCTGTGGTTTTGCCTTATTCTGTGTGTGCCTTTTTGCTCTTCCAGTCTTTCTAATAGTTCTCTCCCCTTGGCTGCATACAGGGCTGCCGCACTTCATCAAGGAGCCTCAGGAGCTGAACATTACCCGAAATAAGCCGTTCAATCTCACGTGCCATGCTGTGGGGCCTCCTGAACCTGTTGTGATTCACTGGTTTTGGAACAGCAGCAAAGTTCATGAGGAACCAGACATTTCTCCATCTGTCTTGATGATGCCAGGTAAGTTGAACAGTACACTGGTTTCAAGGTGTGTGTGTGACTGCTTGTCATTCTATACTCACACAGGAGTGTTAACATCCCCAGAGTGGCCTGGTAACCCATCAATTTCAAATATTTGAATGCTTCAGTGAGCTTGTTTACTGGCTAGCCATGTGCTATATGAAGAGAAAACTGACAGTGCTATGATTTTGTCAAATGGGGGTATGTACCCACAGAATCTACCCTGAGACAGTAGCAGCTCCAGTGTGGCTCCTTCTGATATGAAGCAGAGAAGAAAGAACTGGAAAGTGGCAGCAAAAAGAGAAGGAGGTGAACCCCAAGAATAAGACCATAGGCACAAGAAATCCAGTTCTTAAAAATATGCTAGGAAGTGAATAAACCAGGAATCCTAATAACCAGAACACGTGTTCTATGCTTTTATGCTGGGCTATTTTCTACTGTGGATTTTAATTCATGTCTTTTAATGTTTTGTTTGTACTGTTTTTATTTTGTAAGCTGCCTTAGACAGGTTCTTGGAGGAGGGAGCTTAGAAGTTTTCTAAATAAATAAATAGAACGCCATCACATTATGCCATAAAGACATAAGGGCTAATGGTCGTGGCTCAGTAGTAGAGTATCTGCTTGTCATGAGGAAGGTCCCGCGTTCAATCCTTGGCATCTCCAGTTAAAAGGAACAGATAGTAGGTGATGTGAAAGACCTCTGCCTGAGACCCTGGAGAGCTGCTGCCTGTATGAACAGACAGTTCTGACCTTAATGGACCAAGGGTCTGATTCAGTATGAGGTGGCTTCATGTATATATGTGACTCATCTTAATGAAGTTATGGTTAAGTACATGTTCTATGAGGAGAAACTGATGATACTACAATTTTGTTAATAAATAACAATTATTTCTTGTCAGGCAAGGCGGGATATAAATTGAAAGTAATAAATAATGATGATAATGATGATGATGAAGGTGGCATGACTGTGATACATAATCACAAATCTCCCATGAGACAGCAACAAACTTGTTATTGTGTGAGCCTTAATGTAAGAGGAATGCGTGTCTGGATCTGTACTGACTAAAAAATTGATATATTAATGAAGTCTTGAGGTCAAGGTAGACATGCACTGGGTCTTATGTGATTTTTTTTAAAAAAAAAACAGTTTTCATGTGCGTCCAGGACTAATGTGGACTGGATGTGTGGAGGGTGTCAGCCTTCCCACTGTGCCATTTCCCTATCCTGAAATGTCTGTGGGGAGCTGCTATATGCTCTATTGGGATAAACCTCCAGCCAGGTATATGTATATTTTCCTTAAGAAGGCAAATAGGGGCTTTTCCAGGTTCCTTGAGGCTTTTTTAGGTCCTCGTGCCTCCCTGTGTGGTGTGGTCCTGTCCTGAATTAGAACCCAGTGAGTTCCTGAGCAGTGAGTCTAAAAAACCGCCGGGAGTTCCAGACATGATATTCCCAGCATGTAATGAACAAACTAGGATTGCCAACCTCCAGGAGGGGCCTGAAGATCTCCTGGAATTTCAGGTGATCTCCAGACTAGAGATCAGTTCGCTTGTTAAAGGATGGATGCTTTGGAGAGTGGTCTGTAGGCATTATTCCCCAAACAATTTTTATTCTTTTTCAAAAGGAATACAGAATTCAACATTATAATACTAATAAGTTTATTTGGAAGTCTGTAGGCATTATGCCCTGCTGAGGTCTCTTCCCAAATCCCTCCCTTCCAATATTTCCAGGAATTTCCCAGTGAGGAGATGACGCCCCCCCCCCCCCACACACACACAGAAAACTTGTGTTGGAGGAGCTGGAAACGAGCTAGCCTCCCTCACCCCTTGAATTTTAGACTCGTGAAGCTGTCTGTGAGAGTATCATATTTTTTTCCCTATCTTTCTTCCCAAAAGTTTAAGACAGTTTTCATAGGTCATCCCTCCTCTTATAATCAAAACACCCCTGGGAAAAATAGGGCCAAACGACATGTTTGCATTGTTAAAGACCCGGGTTTCCTGGATTGAACTCTGGTTCCCCACATCCACACAGCAATGGAGGGAAATGGATTTTTAAAAGGAAAGGAAAGCCCAAATAAGCTCAGAATGCCACTGTGAGGAAAGGATAGGCTCCTGCCTCCCCCCCCCCCAAGCCATTTTCCTGCACCAAAACAATGCGGGGGGGGGAGATTTCCCTGTTTTTGCTGTTCCACTTGGAATATTCTGTACACACGGAGCAGCACAAAAAAGGGGAATAACTCTCCCCAAGCACTGTTTCTGTGTAGGAAAACAGCTGTTGGGGGGGGAGGCAGGAGCCTTTTCACCCCTGAGGTGGCATTCTGAGCTCATTCGGGCTCTCCTTAATTTTTTAAAAAGGCATTCCCTGTAGCTTCTGTACGACTTCAGAGAACCCCAGTTGGGTCTGGGGAACCCAGACCCCAACTCTGTAAAAATTGAAACAGGTAGTTTGAACATGTGAGCATGTGTCTAGCCTCACTTCTCCCACTGAGCTTCATGCATGATCAAGGATTAACACCGGGGTTACTTTATGTATTGATTTACTTTATTTATAGTTTACATTTTTCACTGAGATTTAAGGCAGATTAAAAGTGTAAATCAATGCAATCAACAGGATGAAATGCCCAATAAGACCTGTCATAGAACTAGGATTACAGAAGTCTGAAACACATACTGACTTTCTTTGGTCATATCCCTTTGAAGAACTTGAGGTATTGAAAGCAATTTTAAAGAGCCACTGCTTCCTATATTTTGAGGAATTGTTTTAATGGGTGTTGCCTCTAAAAGTGGCTTATCTGGTTTTTACCAAGTAATTGTGAAAATAATTCCAGGATTACATAATGTTTTAGCCATTTCCTTTTCCTTTTTTAGCATTTGGAAAAATATATTAGTTAATTTAGTTAGTAAAATAAATAGCACGATTTAATGATTTGATAATAGGAAGGAGTGAAGTTATGAACTCTATGAAACAAGAACTTGCCTTGACTTAGAATGTAATGTTTCTTCATCAGTTCCTTCTATTCTGAGGTTTCATTTGTACATTTTAGAAATTAGCAATACATTTGGCTACGGCTTAAGCCAGTGATTTTTCAGCTGTGTCCTGGGGACCCCTGAAGTTCATTGGGGTGCCAAAGCAAAGAAGCAGAGTTGTTGAGGCCTACCATGGGTCCCGCAAAAAGAGTCCCTCTAGGCTCTTCCCCCCTCCCCACTACGAAGACCCAACCAAACATCATATGAAAGCAAAACAGATTACTTGCTTTGCTCTATAGGACCAGACAATGATCAGCCTCCTGGATTTCACCCTAGTTTCCCGCCTTGGTGGTCCTGATGTAAAAATCAAGGTAAGACTCAGGGAAAGCCTGATTCCCTACTGCTGGCAGTCTTCCTCAATGCATAGCTGCAGTAGGGAACTGTGTGGGCCCATCCATGTAAGATTATGACAACACACTCCATCTAGGGCTGCCTGTGAACACAACTCAGAAATTTCAACTAGCACAAAATGTAAAAATCAGATTATAATTCAGCATTAATTCTAGAGAGTTTATCTTGCTGCCAGTTTTGAAAAAACTTTCTTTTTGCTTCCTGTGCTTATTTAAAGTCACAAACAATTTGGTACTAAGATATCTAAAGGACCGTTAAGTCATGTAAAAAAAATCTCCTTGTCAGTTGAGATCCCCTTTGGAGGCCCTTTGTCGTTGTTTTAAAGGAGGAAGATCGCTACAGAGGACAGGGCCTTCTCAGTAGCTTTCAAATGCCCTCCCAATATCTGCTCATGTGGTGCTGAGTCTTGAGTTTTTGACATCAGGGCTGTTTCCACACATGGATTTCCCTCTGTGTATAATATAAGGTTGCCAGCTCTGTTTTGGGAAATTCCTGAAGATTTGGGGGCAGTGACGGGGGGGGGAATGTTTGGGAAGGCAGATTAGCAAGAACATGATGCCATAAATGTTGTCCTCTAAAGTTGCTCTGTCCTCCAGGGGAACTGATCTCTGTAGTCTGGAGATCAGTTGTAATTCCAGGAAAACTCCAGACCCCAGTTGGAGGTCGGTAACTCTAGTGGAATGCAGCATGGCCCTACCTCTTTTGAGAGTAGGGTTGCCAAGTGCTTTCTTACCTGGAGCGGGGGACTCCCGGGTAGTGTCTGGAGCGCGCGCGACCATCCGAGGAAAAACCATAGAGTTTTCCCTTGGATGACCGTGGCCCCGCCCCCAGCGTGCCCCGCATCATCACATCACTTCCGGGTGACGTGCACGTCGGGGTGGGGTTCCCCCCGGGGCCCGATCTGCCGCCGGCGAGGAACGGGCCTCTGGGGCGGGGGTTTCCCCGCCCCCCCGGGGGGACTTGGCAAGCCTATTTGGGAGCTTCCACACATCAACCCATTCTGCATCTAGCATTCGCTCCATTGTTTTACCAGACCCACACTGGAACAGAAAAAGATGTGGCTCAAAGTTGTGGCCACCGGCGATTGTCCAGAACTAACCAAAAGTAGGAATGCCATCCATTTCAGGAACAGGACAACCAGTCGTTGCTCGGGCAAAAATCAGCTGGGAGGAGGCTTCTGTTTCTTTCCAAAAGGAAGTGTCATCAGAGTACCACCTGCAAGCAATTCTAGGCTTGTTCAGCTGTATACCTAGGTCCCGTTCACACTGGCCGATTTGAGCCGGGAGCGGGACAGTTCGGGGCCGGATCAAACCGGCGCGATCACACCACAACATCTGGGAAGCGTCTTGCTTCCGTGGCCGAACTGTCCCTTCCCTGCAGAAATCCGCCTCAAACCGAACCACCTACCTTAGGTGGTTCAAATGGGAGAGGCGCTTCTAACCAGGCGTTTGATCGCCGGCGCGTCTTTGCGCCGGCACAACCCCGGCCCGGATCCGAACTGCGCATGCTCAGACATGCGCAGTTCGGCCGGCCCCCGGTTAGGGCTGTGTTTTCTCCCCGGCGTTTGATCGCGCCGGGGAGAAAAGGCGGCGCGGCCGGGGAATCCATGGGATCCCGCCGCGCCGGGGAGAAAAGGTGGCGCGGCCGGGGAATCCATGGGATCCCGCCGCGCCGTGTCAACGTTGGCGCGGCTTTTAAAAGCTGCGCCTCAAGAGGCTTTTTTCCTGTCGTGTGGCAGGGGCCATTGTGCTATTTCTGGTGTAACTCATGGGGCTCCAGAGACTTTCACCTTGAGCCGGAGCAAAGAAAAACCTCCTTTACTCCAGTGCTAAGGAGGAAGTGTGGGGAGACTGTGGGCAGAGCATCCATGTGGCTGCTCCACTCACAGCCAATCCAGGGAGGGAACAGAGCTAAGCTCCACATTTATCCCCATGGAGTCTATTAGCTAGCATTCCCCCCCCCCTGGTTTATATTTGGGCTGTGGTGTTTGATGCCTCATTGTGAAGGCAGAAGGGGGGGCTGCAGGGAGTCTGACACAATCATCAGCGTGGGGGGGGGGACTGCAACAATCTGCTTGGGAAGAGGGGATGCAGACACCATCACCCTCTGCCACCAGTCCTGTTTCCTGATGCTTGCACAGCAGAGGTGGCTTTTCCAGCACCTTGTGGAAGTCACCCAGGTTAAAGTGGTCTCTCTCCCCACCCTCAGGCGTTTGGTAATTATTTCCCCCCTTCCTCCTCCCCTGCTTTTGCAGGTGTATAATGTGTCGCCAAATTGCTTCTGACTTGCAGCGATGGTATGAATTAATTACTTCCCAAACGTCCTATTGTTAGCAGCCTTGCTCAGGTCTTGCAAATCTTTAACAATTTCTCGACCGTGGCAGTCGTTCTCATGTTGGGTCTTCCTCTTTTCCTGCCACCTTCAACTTTTCCTAGCATTATTCTCTTTTCTATTAACTCTTGTCTTCTCTAATGTGCATAAGTGTGATAGCCTCAGTTTAGTCATTTTAGCTTTTTGGCAGTCCATGGTATCTGTAAGACTGTCGTCCAACACTACATTTCAAATGAATCATGTTTCTTCTTGGCAGCTTTCTTCACTCTTCAATGAAATTTCACATCCATACATAGTCATGGGGAATACCATACTATGAATTATCTTGATCTTGGTTTTCAGCAACACTTCGTCAAACTGAAGAATCTTTTCTAGTTTCCTCATCGTTGCCTTTCTGAGTCTCAGTCTTCTTCTGATTTCTTGAATGTAGTTTCTCTTATGATTGATGACTGAGCCAAGGAATAGAAAATCTTTAACAATTTCAGTTTCTTCATTGTCTACCGTAAAACTGTGTAATTCCTCCATAGTCATTATTTTTCTCTTTCTCTTTTCCGGCACGGGCCCCGGGTAGACAGCAACAGGCCTCCTGGGGCCTCCCTGGGGCCGCAGCGCTCCGGCGCGGGCCCCGGGAAGATAGCAACGGGCCGCCTGGGGCCTCCCTGGAGCCACAGCGCTCTGGCGCGGGCCCTGGAGAGGTGGCAACGGGCCTCCTGGGGCCTCCCGGGGCTGCAGCGCTCTGGTGCAGGCCCCGGGAAGGTGGCGACGGGCCTCCTCGGCCTCCCTGGGGCCTCAGCGCTCCAGCGCGGGCCCCAGAAAGCCGGCGACAGACCACAGCGCAGAGAGCTCGGGGCAGGGCTTGCTGCCACCGCCATTTGTGCCAGTTCCTGGGCTCCTGGAGCGGCGTTCCAGTGCGCTCCGGCCCCAAAAGACCCCTGGATCTGAGCCATTTTTTGTTTTAGTAGTTTGGTGTTTTATATGCTATTTTAATTTTAAACTGCCTTGGTTATTCTTAGGAATAGAAAGGTGGGGCATAAAATCCTCATGCATAAATAAATACATTGTGCATGAGCAGAAAAGAATGAAGAGGTCTAAGGTAAAGAATTGGTATGTGTGCCACTAAGGAAATCCAGATTTTGTGCCAAGGAAATCCAATGGTTTGTGATAAAATTATAAAACTGTATACGATATCTGAATATGTGATTCTGATTGCAGTGTTTCAGTTTTCATACGGTTCAACTAGACTTGGCAGAATGTTGGTAATTCAGGTATTATAAAATATTTGGGTAAAACACTGTGGCAAAATATTTTTAACTGCTGCTGTTCAAGCTTTGCAACTTTCTTTTTTCGAAAAGCAAGTTGTCTTTTGATAACTCCAGTCCGACAGTCTACACCAACCGGAAAACACCTCCCAAGAGTAGCTGTGCAGAGGACCCATCTGTGCATTGACTCGCTGTGCAGGGAGGGAAAGTGGGCACAGCACTTCCATACATTCAGACTGTGTAGATAAGTCACCCATTCACACAGGGGTGACGCTAGCTCACTCAGGCCCACTCTCCCTCCCTGTGCAGTGAGTCAATGTGCAAATGGGTTGTCTGCACCCAGCTATTGTTACAACTACAGAGCAAATTTCATCTAACCTTTCTGATATGAATGGGACTTGCATATATCCCACTGAAGTAACCATCAGTATATAGCAACAATTCTTGGTTGCCAACTCCTGTTGGAAGAGTTGTTCATATTTATTTAGATGTCACTGAGGAAGCCTGCTGCCTCTTCTCATTTTGTTTTTGCTGCTTCTCCAGAAGTGAATTTTGCTGCCTGCACACAAGCATTGCTCCTTCATCATCCACTGCCCATGTGGAGGGGCTGTGGCTCAGTGGTAGAGCATCTGCTTGACATGTAGAAGGTCCCAGGTTCAATCCCCAGCATCTCCAGTTACAAGGTTGTAGCAATAGGTGATGTGAAAGACCTCTGCCTGAAGACCTGGAAAGCCACTGACGGTCTGAATAGACAATACTGATTTTGATGGACCAATGGTCTGATTCAATATAAGGCAGTTACATGTGTGCGCGTGGTTGTGGATTACTTGAAGGAAAGGAAAGGGCTTGGTGTGCTAGGCAGGCAAAAAAGAAAGAAAGGATCTTATGAATAGCAGAAGGACATGGGCAAATAGTCCAGTGTGTTCAAAACTGGATTTCGAGACTGAGTTGCAGCCATCATATGAATGTAAAGGACTGCTCTAGTAGCTCAGATGAAAGGTCCACTAGATTCCTAGTTTTGACGGAGTAGAGAGACAGGTGCAATTTAATTTATTTTATTACCAAACTTGGAAGCCAGCAAGCTTTTCTATAGGCAGTTTGGAAACAAAAAGCAGATGGGAAAGTTAACAATTGTTGTGTGGGGGCAGGGACAAATGGAGAAGAAAGTACTAAAGACAGGGGAAAAGAAGTTTCCCAAGACGGATGAGTAAAAGCAACAAGAAAGAAAGTTGCTGCGGGAAATAAAAAGTGGGGGAAGAGCTAAGGTTGCAACTTCCCCAGTCTCTATACCCAAATCTCCAGGAGTTTCCCAACCCAGAGTGGGCAACTCTAGAAAGAGCAGATCATAGAATCATAGAGTTGGAAGGGACCTTCAGGGTCATCTAGTCCAACCCTGGATGACAAGGGGGAGAACTGTATGAGAAATGACAACTGAAGGGGGGGAAAGGGAGGAAGAACAAAATGTAAATGAAGGAAGACTAAAGAATTGATGGAACAGAGGAAGAAAAACAAGAGGACAATAGAGACGGGTGCACGCATTTACTTTATAGAGTCATCAATAGAGCTGACTGTTCCCGTTAACAAAAACAACAATCCAAAACTCATATAGGAATCCCGCCCCCTTATAAAAACGAGGGTTCATGGATGTAGAGTCAGAAACAGGAGAGAAATCTTGGAGGCCCTGAATACAGCTGCACATCAGAAGCAGGAAGAGAGATCTGGTTTCTGCCTCCTTCAGCAACCCATAGGGATGCCAGCCTCCAAATGGAATCTGAGGATCCCCTGGAATGACAGCTCATCTCCAGACTACAGAAATCAGTTCCCCCAGAGAAAAGGGCTGCTTTGGAGGGTGGACTCTATGGCATTGTACCCCACTAAGGTCCCTGTCATCCCCAGGCTCCATCCCCAAATCTTGGAAGAGTTTCTCCAACCCGGATCTGGCCACCCTACCTACCCATATCCCGTCAGTGGCCAGAAGGGGCCTGGCAACCCTAGATCCACTTGCTGACCAGTTTTGAGGAGACGCTTGGATTTCGGCACCCTTGTGGATTTCGGCCTTTCTGGTGTAGTGCTAGATGGTGGAATTGAAAGTGCAAGAAGGAACTTTGCAAGTGCACCTTAATCGATGGCACGGGGTGAAATGAGAGGGATACCATTGCGATTTGCCTGTGCTTAAGAGCTCTGAGACTTTAAAACCGCAGAACTGGCATACTTCCTCCTGAATTATCGCCCTCCTACTTGCTTCTGGCTTGCTAAACTTTTCCATTCTATGGCTCCCCCCTCCCCACTAGCTTGGCCTGAGCTGCAGCATGAGGCAGTGGCAGGTTTTAAATAGCTGTGTCAAAGAGTTCAGTCACATTTTTGGCACAGGAAAGTAGCTTTTTTTAAAAAGCAACAAAAGAAGCCAGCCTTTCCCATGAAGTGTCTCCCTTTGCGGTCAGAGAAGTGCTGTAGCTGAAGACATGTTTATCCAAACTGTAAAACAACACTTGGGAGTTGGTTTCTTTTTGTGGTCTATGTTTAATTTAAAAAAAAAAATGGGCCCAATGTTCCCTTTTGTTACAATCACATTTCCTGCTGTATTGTTTCATTCTCACTTTGCATGACTTATTTTAATTTGACTGCAGGTCTTAATGAAGCTGCTATTTTCCATTGTGAAGCTCATAATGAGAAAGGACTAGCTACGTCAACTGAAGGACGAGTCAACATAAAAGGTTAGTAGTAAGTCTCAAGCAGTCTTTAATGTTCTAGTTCAGTGGTGGCGAACCTATGGCACGGGTGCCAGAGGTGGCACTCAGAGCCCTCTCTGTGGGCACGCGTGCCATCGCCCCAGCCAGGCCCAGACCATCATTAAAGTATCAAATTCTCTGCCAAATAATTTTAAGTAAATGAAAGCATTTGGGATTGCTTTCCTTACTTTGTTTGGATCATCTTAAGTTAATGTATGGTTGTTTTTTTCTAAAGTAAAATCTCAGTATTCAGGTTAAATTGCCGTGTTGGCACTTTGCGATAAATAAGTGGGTTTTGGGTCGCAGTTTGGGCACTTGGTCTCTAAAAGGTTCGCAATCACTGTTCTAGTTCATTGATCCTAATGTAATGGGTTAGTACCCACAAGAGTACTCACCTGATTTCTAGCATTTTACAAGCAAAAAATAGGGACATGCTTGGAATACCTCAGTTCTCATATTAAGGCCCATTGTTCAACAGCTCTCCTTCACAAACTGTTACATATTGCTGAAGACTATATTCTACCTTCTGCAGGCATTTACTTTGTGACCGTGATTTTAAAAAGCCAAGAGTGTGTTGTGTTTGTTTGTGTTTGGTTAATCATATGCTAGATATACTTGGTTAATCATATACTAGAAAAGCAACCTAAAATAGATGAATAACATTGAAAAATTTACCTCAGAACCTGTTGTGAAACAGTGGATTGTACACTGCATTCATTCCTCCACCCTGAGATTTAACTTCTAGACCATAAAAAATGAGAACACTGGCAACTTATGATAACAAAGTTTGAACCGGTAATCCCTCAAAGGCAAAAATACGCACAAATGATTGACTAGGAACAAGTACCAGAAATATATAGGAATATACCTGGTATATGGGGACCATTGAGGTATATTGAGTTATGGTATGACTTGTGATAGGTTGCACCACTGGCAGCACAATATCTGCTTTTAAAGACACCTGGGAGAGATAGGAAAACACGGTGGCAGAAGGGGAGGGAAGAGAGAGTGGATGGAGTGGGGCTCCAGTAGAGTGTTAAGGATCTGCTGATGGTCAGATTAAGGCACGCATGAACAGATATTTCAAACAGTGATAACTAGGAGTGGTGAGAGTTTCAGGAAGGTCGCCATGTTGGTCTGCAGTAGAAGAGCTAGATTTGAGTACAGCAGCACCTTAGAGACCAACAAGATTTTCGGGGTATGAGTTTTCAAAAGTCAAAGCTCCCATCATCAAGTATCCAGTTGAAAGCTTATACTCTGAAAATCTTGTGGGTCTCTAAGGTGTTACTGGACTCAAATCTAGCTCTGGAAGTGAGGAGGAGTCAGAAAAGGAGAGGGGGAGTCAAACCAGATTTCATGAGTTTGCCTAGGGGGATCAATTTAGGTTTGGTCCCCCATTCCAGAGTTCAGGCTGATGGGTTGCAGTTCCACCCTTCCCCCAAACTTAAGAAAGGAGAAGGAGTGCTAAAAAGTTTTCCAGGAGCCATTAGAGTCCAAGTGGAGGCCTGTATTGCATTCTTCCCTGGATGCTTCAATACAGGCCTATAATATGGTTGCCAGCATTTAAAGTGGTCCCTCCATCTGTCCCTTTAATAACAGTTTGATGTGCAGCAAATGTCAGATGATGTTATTTAGCTTCATGCAGAGGTCATTTCGGGGGGAACGCAGGGGGTCGCAGTTCCCCCGGGTGAGGTACAGGGGGCGGGGCACATGACGAAGCCCCGCCCCCTGCTTCCGTCCGCCCCACTTCCGGCCCTCATTCAGCCAGGAGGAGGCAGGAGAAGAGGGAGGGTAAGTTGCTTCCTCCCCACCTCTCCCCACCCCTGCCTGCCTGAGGCCAGGGAGGGCCTTGGCGGGGCTTCCTCGCACTCCCGCCGGCCTTGCAGGACCACCGCCGGGCCCCTGATGTCAGGGGGTGTGGCATATGCTAATGAGTTATGCTAATGAGTTCCCATAGCTCTTTTTCTACGAAACGACCCCTGGCTTCATGCCATGAAAAGCTTCAACTGCCCATTTCTGCATATTAAACTTCTCTATTTTCCTGGCCAGATGGCAATCTCTAACAGCCAGTGGTTCCTGCAATCCTTCCCTGCCATCCTTTTCTTCAATAGATTTGGGGAAGCATGTAGAACAGGAGTGTCAAACTCATTTCTTATGTGGGCCAGATTTGACATAAATTGGACTTTGTCAGGCTGGGCCATGTGTGTCATAAAATGTAATGTCAGGTAGCAGAGATATAAACTTTATAAAGGACACAGAAAAACACAATGAAAGATATTATAGCAGTTATTCCATCGGAGCCCCACATTAGAGGCTAATATTTCTCTGCAAACCTGAAGTTCTTTGATTTTGTGGAACTCTATATTTTAACCGTGGTTAGTCCCAAACCTCCCCCCCCCCAGAAATATAAACGACAAATATATATGGTCTGAGCCTAGGACCCGGGGGAAGAACATGAAATGGCTGAGCATTGCAAGTTTCTCTCCCCCTCCCAGGTCTACTCAGAGTGGCAGTGGCTCTCCAGGGTCTCAGAGGGGTTTTTTACAGGGTGGTTTGAGATAATAATTTTGGGTGTCCTCTTCAGCACTTGTTCTGCTATTGTTCCAATGGAATAATAGCAGAACAAGTGCTGAAGAGAACACCCAACATTATTTGAGGATACCCCTCCACATTAGGAGGTGTGTGTGTGTTAAAACTAGTATTTGTCTGCAAAACTGGAGTCCCTTGAGTTTGCAGAACTCTATATTTTAACCCTGGCTGGTCCCAAACCTCCCCCCCTCACACACACACCCTTAAAACATGCCTCCCTAAACTGGAAAGGTGGGGAAATTATGGGATTTTGCAAAGACAGTTTTAAAATAAAGAAGAAGCACAAGGATCACAGCAGAAGAACCCCCAGCCCCCAGCTCCTACCTGTGACGAGGACTATGGAGGTTTGAAAGGGTGGCTGGGAAGTAGCCTTGCCAAGCCCCCGCTGGGGGCGGGTAAATTCCCACCCGGGAGGCCCATTACCTGCTACCGGCAGTTCGGGCCCTGGGGGGAACTCTACCTCCTGCCGGAGGGCGTTCCCAGTGTGATGATGTCACCCGGAGGTGACATCATCATGCTGGCCACGTTGTGGGGGGGACACTCTGTGAATCGAGGGAAAACTTTATGGTTTTCCCTCGAGTCATGGTGCCCTGCCCCCAACGTGGGCGATGCGATGATGTCACTTCCGACGGAGCCAGGAATCCCCCCGTTTTGCAGGTAAGTCGACTTGGCAACCCTACTGGCAACCACCCTCTGCTTCCTGCTCTGAGCTCTCTGTTCTGAGGTAGCCTCGCCCTCTGCTCATTATACTCCTACACAGCTCAAGCTGAGAACAGCAAGGTTGGGCAGGGGGTGAGGGAAGAGAGCCCCACTCCCAGGCTGGATTAAAGGCCTGGGTGGGCCGGTTGCAGCCTGTGGGCCGCAGGTTTGACACCCCTGATCTAGAGCTTGTTTTGCACCTCATGAGAATTAGGAGTATATCAGGTCTATTATTTTTGTACAGGTATGTCAAGCCGCCAGTCTGTCAGGCCCCATCAGCAATACAAGCTTGATGATGTCACTTGCAAGGAAAACCATAGAATTTCCTATGATTCCTAGAGCTACTGCCATCACTTCTGAGTTTTCCCCGGAAGTAATGTCATCACACTTATGTCCACCATGTCCCTGCCCCCAACCCTTCTGCTGGTTGCCAGGCTTGACCTAGCAACCCTATTTGGGTACCTAAACAAAAAGTATACAAGGTTTGGATCCTGCAGATCTATTCCTCTGAGGGCAGAAGCTCCCACTGGTGCAAGGCCAGGGGAAGAGGCTGCTGTTACAGGAATTAAGCTACATGATCCAACCCACTAGCTGTGCATTTCTTGGTGTCTTGCAATGTACTGCGTAAGCAGTAAATAACTTCGTAAGTCTTGAAACAGTCCACCATAATTGGTTTTTCCATTCTAATGTTTTTCTCACAGTAATGCAGTAATGCCATTTGGAGAGCTGTAAAAATATCTTGTTGTTCTTAGCAAAATTAAACTGGTTCTACGCTTAGTGCCAAGCCAATAAAAAGACCATTTTATTTCAGAGCGCACACAAAGAGTAACCATTTTTGGCTTGCATGGACTTTTTTTTTTAACTTTGTGTTTGTAGGCTGCATATTCCCAAAAGGTAACAGCAATTTAAAAACAAAACTGTATAGGTCCCATTTGTTACAGTCAAACCATTACAACATAAAACTTGTCCATGAGCATTGTGGTGGTTGGGTGAACTCCCAGACTGTCCTTTCAGAACTTTGTAGGCTTGCCAGCCCCCAGGTCCAGGCAGGGGATCCCCATCCCTAAACACGGTGTCCCTGATGTGATGATGTCACTCAGAAGTGACATCATCACACCGGGGATGTCGTGTGGGGATGCTCTGGTATTTGGGCAAACTCTATGGTTTGTGGGCAAAAACCCCATACTGTTTCGCCCAAATGCCAGAGTGTCCCCATACGGCATCCCTGGAACATCACCCAAGTCCCCCCACCAGAGTGACAAAGGGACTTGGCAACTCTAGATCCTTGTCATAGGGTCTTCATATGCTGATTTTTTCATATGCTTATTATTATTTTGGTATCTAATCAAAGAAGATACGCAGGTTTGGATCCCATGAATCTATTGCTGTGTTGGCCATTGATTTCTTTCTTTCTAACCACAAACGTAAGGGGAGAGCCAAAGTCCCAGGAAGGAAAACACTCTAATTAAATTCTGCTACCTAAGGATACTAGATAGCTCAGCCATTTGCTATTCAGGACATTTTGCCATGAGTTGGGTTGGTGTTCTCCCTAACTCATTTGTATTTCCTGCAGCCAGATAGTAGCTGCAAGGAACTTTACAGCTCAAGTACCAGAGAGCCTAATTCACATGGCACAGGGGAAAGTGAGAAAGTAGCTTCAGCCTCCCTTACACGGCATCTCATGTAGTTCAGGCCCATTTCCCCCTCTGACACTCCTTGGCCACTGTCCCATTTTTCTTAATTAAATAAATCCCCTCTTTTCTAATGTCTCTCCTCTCTGGGCCAATGGATATTGTAAGCTGCTTTGAGCAGTTGTGGAAAGGTGTGGTGTAAATGTTGCAACCCCCCCCCCCAGGAAAATACTGATTTGCGTAGGAGGACCTACTCACATAAAATCCAATGTGTGCAGGCCTCAAATGTGTGATTGTTTCCTACAGTGTATTTAAAATGTGGATCACATTATTTGGGCCAAGGCTGCCAAAGGAGGAGACAAAAGTCTGTGGGGCTTGGTCAACCTGGGGACCCTGGGCAATGCATTTTTGGTGCTGTAAATTCTGCAGCTCTATTCCTGAAGGAGAGGGAAGGTGGGAGTATGAGTTTGGGCCAGGTGCTATCATCAGTATGTCATTGTAACCTGTTACAGAACAGGCCTGTTCCCAGGATAAAATGGTGGCACCACCCACTGAACTCTGTGCTGAGCTCCTTGGCGGAAGGCTGGGATAAGGACTTAGGGATGCCAGACCAGTGGGTCTGTTGGGGAAGGGAATGATGTTGCGCGACATATGACATCATATCCTCCCAAAACTCTGGATGTGATGCTTTGGCTGTCCCTGAAAATTTCATGGTACCATGGAGTTTTCAAGGACGGCTAGAGCATCCCCAACATGCTTACATCATATTTAGGGTTTCGGGCAGATGAGACATAACATGTTGCACATTGTCATTTCCACCGCCAGATCTTTCTTCTGCCAGTCTGGGGAGCAGGAGTGGGAGGGCAGCGGGAGCCCTCCCACCAGAAATGGGCAACTGGTAAGCCTACAAGGAAAGAATGGGGGGGAAATGTGAGGTACACTTTGAAATAACCCATTATTATCATATTCATGCTAACAGAACATCATGTGATGTGCTTTCATATGATGTTTGGGTTAGGTCAAGGTTGTATGAGGTAGATCCCCAGTGGGAATCATAGTTTGAAGGCCCTGGTTTGGGTTTCCATAATTTTGAGTTTATATTTGTAGACTTTTACAAAACATACCTGCATGTCAGCCCAGGTCTGAAACAGACATGACTTCTAGTTGGGAGCAGGAAGTTAAGATCTTGCTTCCATGCCTTGTAGAGCCAGTGTAGGGCAGTGATTACAGCGTTGGACCAGGATATGAAAGCCCTGGGTTCAAATCCCCGCAATGTCATAAAGCTCACTAGGTGATCTTGGGCCAGTCATGCTGTCAGCCTAATTTACGCCACAGAGTTATTGTAAGGCTATAATGTGTGAATAAGAGTTTCTTGAAGAAAGGGCAAGACACAAATTTACCAGATAGAATTGCATTGGACATTTGTCTAATCTAGACTTCTGCCAGCTGCATCCCATGGTTCTCTGCTCCTTCTCCCTATTCTCTCCTCCCATGTGGCTACTTGCCTGCCTGTAGCCCTTTCTTCTCCCCCACCCACATTCAAGTAATTCCAGTGGTTTTGTGTTGTGACCAGATTGCCCTTCAGTTGCATGTATTTTGCACTGTATACCATGTACAGCATAACTGCTGAAGATGTTGTTGTTTCTAATGCAGGAATCCCATCCCCACTAGTTGATGTCCGTATTCAAAACAGAACAGCTCACATGATAGTTGTATCCTGGGTCCCAGGCTTCGATGGTTATTCTCCGTTGAGCAGGTGCAGTGTTCAGGTAAGTCTTTACAACTGCATTCCTTAATACCTGATGTTTCATATGTTTCCTGATGGACTTTTGTTATTTAGCATCAATGAAAACATGCTGACCATCATCCTCTGTACTGGTGAAAGTTTCAGGCTTCTCCATTAAAAATGAAATATTAAACTTGTGTGGCGCAGGGCCAAAGTACATGTTTCATTGGAGATCCAGAATCGGACCTCTCAGTGCTTTCTTTAAGGCTTATGCAAGGACCCCTGATTAAAATGGATTAAGTTCCATTACAATGAATTGGCTGAGGTTTTTTAGATCACATTACTTCCCTAATAGCAATAGTTTCAGGAAGGTGGCTATGTTGATCTGCTGTAGAAGAGTTAGATTCAAGACCAGTAGCACCTTCAATACCAACAAGATTTTCAAGGTATAAGCTTTTGAGAGTCAAAACTCCCTTCATCAGATAATAGCCATGTATGTTACGTGGAAAGGAAATGGAGGCAAGCTGTGTCTCTTTTCTGTATGGTTCCTGCCTGCATTCCTTATCCAAATAACAGAGAACAGGTTTCATAGTATCAATACCAGAGAGAAAGCTAAGTGTACTTTGTCCTATGGCAAAGGTGAAGAAATAATCTGCTTCCTTGTACTTTGGGAAATGACAGTTTTGTTTCCTTCTCAGGAAGAGTCCAGATTGTGATATCTAGAAAAGGATCCTTTAAATAAAACAAGACACAGTGACTCATTCTAGTCAGAGGGCAAAGTGTCTGCTGCCAGTTGCAGGAATTAAGTGTGTCAAATAAGCAATTACTGTGGAGAACTCCTTAGGTCTCTTTATGCAGAAGTGCCTGGTGACAGTTGCTGTTCACCTAAGAAGCAACACAGCAATACTTCCACCCATCATAACAATGGGCAACATCGCCAGGAAACCAGAATAAAATCCCGGTGTATTAAAAGCACCCTGTTTCCTAATGACTGAGGCCAGCCCAAAGTGCTTCTAACAGTGCTTACTCAGGCTTGGGGCCTGGTGAGTTTCCAGTGAGAAGGAGTTCTATATACAGAGAATACCTCTCTTCTGCTTCTACTTTCAGGGCCTGACATAAGAACATAAGAGAAGCCAATGTTGGATCAGGCCAAAGGCCCATCCAGTCCAACACTCTGTATCACACAGTGGCCAAAAATACCAGGTGCCATCAATGATTTGGAGTTGGGAGTAAGCAGTGAGGTGGCTAAATCTGCGGATGATCAAAGTTTTTCAGGGTGGTGAAAACCAGGGAGGATTGTGAGGCACTCCAAAGGGATCTGTCGACGATGGGCGAGTGGGCATCAACGTGGCAAATGGGGTTCAATGTGGCCAAGTGCAAGGTGATGCACATCGGAGCCAAAAATCCTAACTATAAATACACGTTGATGGGGTCCGAATTGGGAGAGACTGACCAAGAGAGAGATCTTGGGAGTCGTAGTAGATAACTCACTGAAAATGTCGAGACAGTGTGTGACTGCAATAAAAAAGGTCAATGCTGGGGGTTATTAGGAAGGGAATTGAAAACAGATCAGCCAATATCATAATGCCCCCCTATATAAATCAATGGTGCGACCTCATTTGGAATACTGTGTACAGTTCTGGTCACCACACCTTAAAAAGGCATTGCAAAAAAGTGCAGAAAAGGGCAACTAGAATGATAAAAGGGTTGAAGAAAGGTTAAAGCATTTGGGGCTCTTTAGCTTGGATAAATGACAGCTGAGGGGGGACATGATCAAGGTTTATAAGATTATGCATGGGATAGAGCAGGTTGAGAAAGAGGTACTTTTCTCCCTTTCTCACAATACAAGAACTCGTGGGCACTCCATGAAATTGCTGAGCGGTCGGGTTAGAACAGATAAAAGGAAGTACTTCTTCACCCAAAGAGTGAGTAACACATGGAATTCACTGCCACAGGAAGTGGTGGCGGCTACAAGCATGGACGGCTTCAAAGGGGAATTAGATAAGCATATGGAGCTTATCCAACATTGGCTTCTCTGGAAACTCACCAGGCCCCAAGCCTGAGGAAGCACTGCTTACCTTCCAGTTAGCTACCTTCTGGTCCTCAGGAATGGAAGCAGATTTTAATGAAAGATTACATATCTTTGTCAGGAGATCCACAAGTTCACATTTGAGTTCTTTCAGAACTCTCGGATGTATGCCATCTGGGCCTGGTGATTTATCAGTTTTTAAGTTGTACGTTTAAGTCCAGTGGCACCTTTAAGACCATCAAAGTTTTATTCAAGGTATAGCTTTTGTGCGCATGCATACTTCTAGACATAGAGGGGATGCTTATCAAATTTGCAGATGACACGAAGCTGGGTGGGATTGCTAATTCTTCCCTGGACCTAAGGACGCCAGGCTGGCATTGACCAGGGCCAGGGCCTTTTCAGTGGTGGCTCCAACCTGGTGGAATGAGCTTCCAGAAGAGATCAGGGCCCTGTAGGACCTGTTACAGTTCCCCAGGGTCTGTAGAACGGAGCTCTTCCGCCAGGGTTTTAGGAAAGGAGCCGCACCTTACTATCTAAGATCCTGTGCCAATATCATCATCCAGTCTGAGCCTGCCAATAGGGAAATCTACCGCTGACTGTATGTTTATTACGTACGCTGCTACTACTGTACCGCCATCGCCACACAAATTGTTTTTAGTAACTATGTTGTGTTTTATGAGCTCATTGGGGAGGGCGGGGTATAAATGTGAAAAATAAATAAATAAATAAATAAATAAATAAATAAATAATGCTGACATTTATATTGTTGCTTTATCTGTTGCTATTTTTATGTAAGCCGCCCTGAACCTGCCTTGGCAGGGAGGGTGGAGTACAAATAAAATAAATAAATAAATTTGCCAGTATTTACATGTAATGTGTGGTTATAGCCATGAATCTGTGGCTTATGTGTAACACTGGATGAAGAACCTAATTCTTCCCTTTGCAATAGCACTCCCACTATTGCTGAAACTGGCATTCTTCCCAAATACCTTTCCTCCCTCCCTGTCACATACACTGGCAACACACCTGTACTCTTCCTTTATTGAGAATGCCTTCCAACTCTAACATTCTATGATTCTATGATTCTAAGCCTTACGTATGGAAAGGGGGTTAGTTGCCAGGAAGGACAACTTAAGACGCATAAGTAAATGAGTGATAAGTACAGCTAAAATTGGATTAAAGCAGTTAATTCACGGCTACCCACCTGAACAAAACTGGCTTGTGTAACGTTCAATCTTTCAGGGCAGGTATGTAACCTATTTATCCAGGCGATTTAAAATCCCACAGGGCATTCTCAATAAAGGAAGAGTACAGGTGTGTTGCCAGTGTATGTGACAGGGAGGGAGGAAAGGTATTTGGGAAGAATGCCAGTTTCAGCAATAGTGGGAGTGCTATTGCAAAGGGAAGAATTAGGTTCTTCATCCAGTGTTACACATAAGCCACAGATTCATGGCTATAACCACACATTACATGTAAATACTGGCAAATTTATTTATTTATTTTATTTGTACTCCACCCTCCCTGCCAAGGCAGGTTCAGGGCGGCTTACATAAAAATAGCAACAGATAAAGCAACAATATAAATGTCAGCATTATTTATTTATTTATTTATTTATTTATTTTTCACATTTATACCCCGCCCTCCCCAATGAGCTCATAAAACACAACATAGTTACTAAAAACAATTTGTGTGGCGATGGCGGTACAGTAGTAGCAGCGTACGTAATAAACATACAGTCAGCGGTAGATTTCCCTATTGGCAGGCTCAGACTGGATGATGATATTGGCACAGGATCTTAGATAGTAAGGTGCGGCTCCTTTCCTAAAACCCTGGCGGAAGAGCTCCGTTCTACAGACCCTGGGGAACTGTAACAGGTCCTACAGGGCCCTGATCTCTTCTGGAAGCTCATTCCACCAGGTTGGAGCCACCACTGAAAAGGCCCTGGCCCTGGTCAATGCCAGCCTGGCGTCCTTAGGTCCAGGGAGGGCCAAGCGAATTTGAGACCCTGACTGTAGTGCTCTCTGGGGAGCATGCGGGGAAAGGCAGTCCCTCAGGAAGGTAGGTCCCTGACCATAAAGGGCTTCAAAGGTAAGCACCAGCACCTTGAAGCAAATTTGTTACGCTGTTGTTAGCCAGTGCAGTGCTTTCAGCGCAGGCTGGATGTGCTCCCGCATGGGGAGTCCCAGCAACAGCCTGGCCGCCACGTTCTGCACCAACTGAAGTTTCTGGATTTGGTCAAGGGCAGCTCCATGTAGAGGGCATTACAGTAGTCTAATCTCGAAGTGATCATAGCGTAGATCACTGTCGCCAAAATCGTTGCATTCGAGGAAGGGAACCAACTGCCTAATCAGCCGAAGATGATAAAAGGATCACGTAGCAGTGGCTACTACCTGGGCCTCCATCATTATGGAGGCATCTAGGAGCACTCCCAAGCTCCTAACCTCCGATGCTGGCACCAACGGCGCCCAATCAAAGGACAGGAGTGGGATCCCTAATCCCAGGCCGCCCCGACTCATGCACAGGACCTCCATCTTTGTTGGATTCAATTTCAGTCAGCTCAGTCTAAGCCATCCAGCCACAGCCTGCAGCGCCAGGTCCAGATCTTCTGGGTTGGAGTCAGACTGGCTGCCAACAGCAGATAAAGCTGGGTGTCATCCGCATACTGGTAACAACCCAACCCATGCCTCTGGGCAAGGAGGCGCATATAGATTTTAAATAGAATTGGGGAAAGTACCTCCCCTTGTGGCACTCTGCTCACTAGCGGGTGCCTTCAGGACAGCTGTTCCCCTAATGCTACACTTTGTCCCTGACCCTGAAGGAACAAGGAGAGCCACTGCAAGGCAGACCCCTGAATCCCAGCATCGGCGAGGTGGTGGATCAGTAGTTGATGGTAAACCATGTTGAATGCCGCCGACAGGTCCAACAACAGCAACACTGCCAAACCGCCCCTATCCAGATGCCTCCGAAGGTTGTCTGTGAGGGCGACCAGTGCCCTCTCCATCCCATGGCCTGGTTGGAAGCTGGACTGGTAGGGGATCTAATATGGAAGTGTCATCCAAGAAACCCTGCAGCTGAATTGCCACCGCCCTCTCAATTAGTTTGTCCAAATAGGGCCAATTGGAAATTAGCCCCAGTGCCTGCTTTTCCCTTTTCTAGGAAGAACTGCATCCAAAGGAGGTAATTTTGAGTGGACTAGGGATCACAGGGGTGCTTTCCCTTTCCCCATCATTATTCTACCCAAAATGTCTCCCCCACTGAGCTGCTTCTCCCTCCTCCCACAGATTTTGAGCTGAGAACTGGGTGGCAGGCAAAGGGTTAAGCAGTACTTCCACTCCTGCAAAACAATGGCTAGCGGGGGCGGGGATACAGTAAAGTTTGATTATATATGTGCATTTAATGTGTGTGTGCAATTAGCTACCCCTGCACTTTTTTTGTGTTGGAGACTGACTGAATTTCTTCACTATACCAGAAGTGCCTCTTTTGTGCTGCTTCTGTCTTCACAAACATTGTCAATACAAGATAAAAAGTCAGGGAGGCATTTTAGAATAGTAGGTTTATTCATGCCAGTACAGATTTTAGGTTTGCATTCTAATAGTTGAAAATGCAAAAATCGCATTTTGTGCACTAAAAAACAAAGCCAGCTGTAGCATAACATCGTTCTTCACACGTATTGCTAATTATTGTCATAATTTATGCTACCGCTATTGCTTAACATTAACTTAGTAACAGTGAGATGCTTACAGAAAGGAGAAAGTTTCAGCCAGAGGGCTTAGCTGGAACACTACAGCACCATACAGGCCAATATCTTGCAAAGGAGTGGAGTCTGTCCACACAGTGTCCTTTGTTACTGTGCTGATTCCTCCCGCACCCCCCCACCCCCAAATTGTTGTATACAACAAAGGAAAAACCTGTAGATTGCTGGACATAATCAGGATTTCCTGGGGCTGGTACTCATTCATAGGAGAGACTGGGGAAGGTTTTAGTCCATCACAATTTCACACACATGAGTCACTGCCTTCTTAGCACTTGAACCATAGAACGAAATTCTGAAGAACTGCAGTGATAATTTAAGCCAGTGAGTCTACCCATACCCATTTCCAATCGGTTGGCTAAGAGGAGCTTTCTCTGGCAGTTTGGAATAAACTCTCATGGGGTATGGTGGGTGGGTAAAGAATGGGGAGATGTTTTTCCTTTCCGGATGTTATCAGCATCCTGCATTCTTATTGAACCTCCAGAAACAGGCTGGAGAATCTGAAACATTTCTTATGATATCATATTCTGTATTGGTTACTTGACAGTTATCACGCATACGGAAGTAGATTTTCTTAGTTTGAAAGCATTCAAAACCTCCAAGACAAGTGAGTGCTTTAATCACAGAGCACAGAAGAACTTGAAAAAGCAGGCTAGAATTACTATAATGTTACCATGTGTGGAGCAAATAACTTTGACCACTACTGTTTTGCCTTCTTTGGGGATACAAGAGCCAGAAAGTTGATTTCTTGCATACAAATGAAATGTACCTAAAATAGAAACATCTAGTTATGATGACTCTTCTAATATTTGCTTGCCAGAGCATCCGGTAGCATGAAGGAATGTTTTGTTTTGCTTTTCTTTCTACATTGCAGAGCACTGAAGGGATTCTCTTTGACCCAGATTAAACCCAGTTCTGATAGCACAGCCCCTGGTTCAGCTGATGTTTTGTTTTTAATAGCAATGATAGCTTGAGTTAAGCATGGCCTAAAGGACTGTTAGGGTTATCCCTGTGTCCACTAATTCTCCCCTACAAGCCAGGTCACAGACAAAGGACTCTTTAAGCCCTTACTTTCCAGTGTGAACAGTGACAGTGGGGTTGACAGAGTAACCCCCTGATTACGTAGCTGCTGCTCACACCCATTTGTTTCCCCATATTTTGGCTTGGGACAAAACATACAATAAGCCTAACAAAAAGGAGTGGAGCTTTGGAATCTGAGACTGTGGCAGGGGAGGGGTGCCTGATCTGGAGCTCACAGACGCTGCACTTGGCCTCTGGGCTGGCAGTTCCAGATTCCTGCTGTCAGCCATACTTATCCGTTTTGGCATCAATACAAATCTCTGGCTGAGGACAGACTGGCAGTATGAAGCGCGAGGGAGCCAGGGCAAAAAGATCCAGACGAAGTTGTGCCTGGGATTCCCGGTCGCACTGCACCTACTGATGCGGGAACATACCGGGGAGGAGACGCAAGGCAGCGTTCACAGTGTTGGCCCGCCCCTGGTGGAGGCACGGCTGTAAGTGGCTTTTTTCCCACTCCGGCGACATGCGCCTATGCGCATAGGTGCAGCAATGCAGCTTCTTTGCAGCTTTTAGCGCGCACACTTCTGGGAAGCGGGATCAACGCACTCTCCAGGGTTTGCTACCGCTTTCGCCTGGTACCTTTTTAACGTGGTAGGGAATCGTCATAGGATGCCCACTGGAGGCTGAATTGAGGTAGTAGTGAGGCTGAGCATGTGCACTGTCCTTGCCATTCATTCATCCTTAACACTTTCTGTGATTCTGGGGAAGAGGCAAGGCTTCCTGCCCATCTTGAGTCTTGTCACCTTACAAATTAAGTATAGTTGTTTACAGATATGTTGTCTAAAGTCCTGGTAGTGTTGGGGGTCCTTGTTTAATAATCTTTGCTCATCAACTTGATTTTCATTTTAGGTGAAGGATGTTGTGTCACTGGGTAATACTTCTGTTATGGTTTTTAATACTTCCACACCACCTCATCAGTACAGCATTCAAACTCTGTGGCCTATGAAGGATTATAACATCCGTGTTTCCTGTATGAATGAAATAGGCTGGTCTGGTTTCAGCCGTTGGATTACAGCCAGTACAACAGAAGGAGGTAAGAAAAGAATAGTACAGTTAAAGTAATTTTTTATTAATCGTAGAATGCTTGTATCCTATCTTTCCTCCAAGGAGATTGGGGAAGCTCAGAAGAGGGCCCCTCTATTTTTCTCCTCACAACAACCCTGGAATGTGGGACAGGATGAAACAATACAGCTGGCTTAAGGGAGCTTCATGGCTAAGCAGAGAACTGAATCCATATTTCTCCCATCCAGATCTATCTGCTATGTAATACTGTCTCTCAAGTATGGCTGGGAATCTTTCCACCTTGTACCATTTGGTGACATTTTGGCAGGGAAGTGTTATCTGTTGTATGACTGAAGCTTAGGTGGTAAGCTGTATGTCTACTAAAACACACACTTTTTTCAAAAAGTGGAAATCATTAGCCAGTCTCCTGTCATTTTAGCAGAGGCTTAATGAGTAGAAATGACCAGCTGAAACCTTGTTTTCTCTTTTATCAATTAATATTTTTATTCAAATGTTGTAAATATTACAAAAATACACAGCAAAATTATACCAGCTGAAACCTTTGATGGAATGGAGATAAAGAACATCAACTGGTAAATAACATCCCATTAAGCCTCTATTAAAGGGACAGGACTTTCCTTTTCTCCAGGCAGGTGGCAAACCAAAGTGCAATCCTTTTCTCTGTTGTTCACCCTGGAGTAATGAGGATTAGAGAAGAGGAGACATAGGGGTACATCCTTTTTAGATTTAGGGCATCTTCCTCTTATTTCATGTTTTTATTCTGTATATTGTTTTTTGAAAACAACACATTAAGTAAAAAAAGATTGATCAGCCTTTCCTGTTTCTGTTTTAAAGCTCCATCTGCTTCTCCTATGAATGTTACTCTCTCAATTAATGAGACTGCCTCTTTGGTGGTAGTATCGTGGGCAAAGCCTCCTGATTCACAGATGAATGGTGAACTTCAGGGCTACAAAATATCCCACATGTGGCAGAATTCTGATGTGTCTGTAAGTATGGAAACACAAATAACATTAGGGGGGGGGAAATCCATATGAAATGGCTGGCTGCTCCTGGTTCCATTCTCCTTTCTTTAAAATGTTAGCATTTTAAGTGTGTTAGTTGTGGTCTCAGCTGGGGGGGGGGGTCAACCTTGCATGTATCCCCCACCAGCATCAAATAACACACCATACACAAGATTTGGATAAATGTGGAATAAAACGGCCACAACTTTATTGGTTACAGCTGTAAGAAACTTTGACACAGCAAGAGTCTCCCCAGATCCGCTTCAGAGGCCAGGGTGCACAGCTGGCCCTTTCCCCCCGGGAAAACCCCTCCCCTGGAACCGACTTAGACGCGAATGGATCTGATCAGTGTTACTATGGGATATGAATAGAGTGTTTGTGAAAAGTAAGCAGACGGAGAGTGATTTCAGCTAAGCATACCTTTATTTAGTTCAGGACAAAGACAACGGACCAGCTCGCAGGCCGGTTTATATGCGTTCAGAAAACCCGCCACCAAGTACCCATAAACACACCCCCTACTCCCAATAGGCTATTTACAGTAACCGGGTGACCATTGGTCTCCCGGCTGGAAAGCTAGCCCTTTGATTGGGCCGGCTAGGATCCTTTGGATCCTTTGTCTTTCGACTCAAGCTATGGACAGTTTGTGCCTGGCCAGCCCGGGCAAGTCCGGGCATGTCAGGCTGAATACATTACACCCCTCCCCCTTTGGTTCGCAATGCACCCACAGACGAAGTCCTTCAGGTGCACCGGTGGCTTCCTGGGGCGCGTCGAGCGGCGAGGTTCCGGGGTGGCTATGGGTTCTGTCTCTGGGGCCCTTGGGGCCGAGTGGACCGGGGCCGGCGAGGGGTCCGCCGTGGGTGGAGTGGCTGGTGCCTCGGGGCGAGGGGTCTCGGGCTCCGCCCGGGATGGTGGCTGTGGGTCTCATCCCAGAAGCAGGGTTATGGGTTCTGTCTCTGGGGCCCTTGGGGCCGAGTGGACCGGGGCCGGCGAGGGGTGGCTATGGGTTCTGTCTCTGGGGCCCTTGGGGCCGAGTGGACCGGGGCCGGCGGGGGGTCCACTGTGGTTGGAGTGGCTGGTGCCTCGGGGCGAGGGGTCTTGGGCTCCGCCAGGGATGGCAGCTGTGGGTCTGATCCTTACACCGGATCCTCGGGAAAGAACCCCCTGGCCGCCTCGTACGTTTCGGTGCCCGGTGCCTCCGGGGTTGCCCGGTCGGGGTGTAGTCGATCCATCCGGGAGGCCAGGCG